CTTCTTCCATGTGGGCTTTGTTGCTTCTGAGCTTGATGGCCGCTTGATTACCTTCAAGCTTTTAAGACCCCAGATGCTATATCTTTTGATAGCCGAGATTGATTGGTTTTCAAAACTTGAAACCAGCATTACATTCCTGGGATAAGCCCCACTTGGTCATGATGATTAATTCTTTTTATATCTTGCTAATATATTGATAAGGATTATCTATCTGGATTTGTGAGCGTCAGTGGTCTGCAGTCTTTCTTCTTCCCATTCTTTGTTTTTGGGGGGTTTTTTGTTTGCCTTGTTTTTGTTTTTGCTTTTCAAATTGAATAGCACTCTTCTATCTTCTGCAATAGATTGAATGGAATTGCGTTGTTAATCCTTTTAAAGCATTTGGTCGGATTCTCCAGGGAAACCATCTGAGCCTAGAAATTGTGTTGGGGGGAATGTTTTCAATTAAAAATTAAATTTTAAAAATAGTTCTAACCCAAACCAAACCCACTGACATTGAGCTGATTCCTACTAAGAGCAGCCACGTATCCAAATGTCCCGAGAGTGTAAATCTCTGCGGAAGCAGGATGGCTTCATCTTTCTCCTGGGGGGAGACTGGGTTCGAGCTACCGCTGGCCTGGCAGCGGCTGTGCAGTGTGTAATCCACTAGACCATCAGTGCCGATCTCAAAGCGTTATAGGGATGTTCAAACAATCTACTTCATGCGATGTGAGCGGTGGTGACTCAGACTGTCTAGGATCTGGTCTGTTGTTTCAAACTGCCCTGTTCACCTGTGTCCTATCTGCTCATCATATCTGCCTCCTGACCTTTCTGCTGTCTGCAGGATCCGTAGTACTGTCTCCTCTTTCATTTCTCACACTGCTAATCTGTCTTCTTTTTTCCTCAGCCAGTCTTAATAGGGGTTTGCCCAATTATTTGTTTATCTTTTCAAAAGCCGGCTCTTTGTCTCACTGATTTTTTTTTTCCTCATTGCAATTTCACTGGTTTCTGCTCTTATCTTTCTAGTTGGCTTGGATTTACTTTGCCCTTTGTTGTGGTCAAGGTGGAAGCGGGACCTTAGATTATTCATTGGAGATGTCCTGTCTTCTCCTCTACGTACATTGCTATACATGTTCCCCTTCACGCTGCTTTAGCTGCTCCCCCAGCTACAGTCTCAGTGGCTTAGAGTTCCAGTTTCACTCAGTTTGATGTCTTTTCTATGGAGCTTTCCCTTTGGCCCACAAATTACTTACAGGTGTATTATTTCATTTCCGAGTGTTTGAAATCTTCCTCTTTCTGTTATTGATTACCTTGGCTGGTTCTATTTTGGTCAGGGAACACTGTCTGTATGATTTGGAGTCTTTTAACCGTGTTGAGGTTTGTTGACTGGCCAAGGGTGTCGTCTGTCTCATGTCTGCCTCTCGGGTGTGTGAAAAGAGTGTGTGTTCTGCTGATGTTAGGTGGGTGCTCCATAAATGCTGATTGCGTGATAGAGTTCTAAATTTATCCCAAGAGTTGGAGAATAACTCTTTATGTGTTGAGATTAACTCTTGATGGTTATGCGATACCTTGTCTTTGCCAAAGGGTTCAGAGTGAGTGATTTAAAATCCTGCTAGGGCTCCACCCCGGAAGCCTGTGAAGTCTTGTCACAGGTGGTCGGTCCTGCCAGGGGGGTCTTTGCAGGTACAGCCCCCTCTTGCAGACTCAGATGGTGGAGGCTCCAGTAACTCTATGGGCGTTTCCTGGATGACACATCGTTTTAACAGCTGTGACAAAACATGCTTCTTCTTCTGCGACTGAAGACATGAAGCGTGAAATCCAGAGGGATGTCTGGAGTGCGTGGTAGCCCCCTTTCAGGTGGCTGGCGAAGGAATAAGATCCCAGTGGGTTAGTTTAGCTTGATGACTTGAGGTTTCTTTTTATGACGTTAGTGTATGTTCATGATAGAACACATGTAAGATACAGGAAAGCCAAAATGAGAAAAGTATCTTACGTCATCCAAGCCGGTTGTCAGCAAGCCATGCCCTGCTCCTGGCCATCCCGTGGGTGGCCGTCAGTGTGGAGCTGTGCTCCATCGGGTGTTTGATTGGTGGAGTTGTGGAAGTGCAGCACCGGACCTTTCTGCCGAGGCACCTCTGGGTGGCCTCCAGGCTGCAGGGTTTGGGTTAGCAGTTCAGTGCCTTCGATGTTCACACTACCCGAGGGCATCTATGTATCATCATATGTAATCTGATAACTGAAAGATTACTATTATTAATCTGTAATGCACTTTCCCAATATGTTCTCAAAAATGAAAGCCATATCCCAGTTCGAGAATTACTTTTCACTTGAACCACAGACACGAATATTTTCCAAGATACTATTTCTAAATAGCAGAATATTTGGGGGGGAGGGGGCGGTGGACACACATCAAATAGTTCATGGAAAAATTCCATAATTCCTGAATTCAGTTTTCCATGACCTTCCCAGAACCCCTTGACGTGATTCCACAGCAGAGATGGAGCAGCGCTCGTTAACCGAGCCCCCTCTACAGACACACAGGTTATGACCGTTCCCTGAGGCTATCAGCCTCCTGATGAACATCGGTCTTTTTGTTCATATGTGATCACATCCTAGAAAGAGGGACACCCTGGGCCAGGGGGTACAGATATATCCAGCTTTTGAGCCCCCCCGCCTGCCAGATTGGACTCATGCGATTTTGTTTGTTGGATTGCTTCGGCAAATTTCGCTCTGTCTCTTGTAGAGGGTTAGGTGTGAGTTCACGCAGAAGATGCAGGCACTCAGAACTCAGGCTTGCGTCGGGTCAAGACATTTTCGGGCAGGAACGAATGGCCGACGGGAACCCAGAGCAGTCTCCGTTCCCAAGAGTCTGATATTGTTGGGCTATGGATGGCTGTCTGGCGCGTTGTGTGTCAGGAGCAAAGCACGGATGGCCCTGCCCCATCTTCAGGATCACTGGGGAGCTCGCACCCACTGCTGTGGCCATGGTGTGCCTAAGAAGGCCCATCTCCCGACCCTGCGTGGTACAATGCTCGGCCGCAGTCCGCAGCATTTCCGGGAGCTATTTCCAGAAGGGGACTGCTCTGTCTTTCTTCCTAGCCACCTGAGTGGTGTTTCCAAGAAGATCAGGACTGTGAGCCTTTCCACCACCTGACGAGGTAGCCATTGGGCATGACCAGGAAACAGGAAGGCAGGTGATTGATTGTATGCAGTCTAGGACGTGAACCTTGCAAAACCAGCCGCCCAGCCCAGTTTTACAAGCCAGGCAACCAAAGGACAAACTGGCTTAACCGGGCCAGCATCCTCTCGGTGGCGCCCGCCATGGGAACACCGTGTGTTTGAACTTGAGCTATGCCCTGCACTGACTTTGTCATGGCAATTACCACCCATAAAATGGACCGAGGCACCAAGTGGAAACCTCCTACGTGTGGCAGCCCCAGCCCACCAGCGTTTATAGCTGGGGCCAGCCATAAAGGACACTAGCCTGGACATGCTTCTGAGAGACCATTGCAAGCACAGGCCCATGGGACTGGAACAGTCACGGAGAGACGGGGCGCTGGAAGGCGAGCAGGAAAGTCGCAGGCCCAGAGGAGCCCCCTGGACACCTGACAGTGAGGCCAGTGACCCTCCAGGTAACCTAGGCAGCTTTTCAAGTCACGTGTCAGAGCCGTGGCCCCAGGAAGCACAGGATTCGGGCCAGGGAAGCCCGCCAGTGTTGGCCCCTGCCCGCATTCCACCTGTCTTTCTGTTCTTCGTTTGCAGAGAAAGAAGAACTGATGCAGACCATGCTGGCCCAGGTGGCGGAGCAGTTCTCCAGGTAGAGCCTCTCTGGCCCATACTGGCATGCTGCCAGGAGGGGTGGGGTGGCCTCCATTTGGATGGCAAAGGAGGGAGCCTTGCCCCAAGCCTGGCAGGAAACTGCCTGCTGTTGTTTCCCTACTGCAGCCAACTAGAGCGGGGTCCAGAGAGGACACCCCTATATATCAGAGACCATAGGGTGCCCTTGTATCAGAGACCCCAGGCCCTCCTGGATCACAGACCCCAGGGCCCCCTGGACCACAGACCACAGGGCCCCTGGACCACAGACCATGCCAAGCAGGTAGTCAGAAACTGAAGCAAGAGCATTCTCTCCTTGCTCTCGGGTGGCTCCTCTGGCCACCTCTAGGAAATGACACCGTTTGGGTTTTTTAAATAATAGTGATAAATAAGAACAAAACCATAAATCTCTTTCCAAAAAATCAAATATTTTCACGGCACAAGTCAGGTTTTGAAGAGTAAGTTTTCTTGCTGAGGCCCGGTGTCGATGTGGGACTTCCTTCCTATTCTGAGCTCCCGTGTGGAGTCTGAGGTAAAGATGTTCTGTTTCTCAGAATAATGTCACGGCGTCTGTGACTCCCCTGGTGATTAAAATAGGGGAGCGGGCACGATGGGAGCTCGGGATTTGTTGAACTGAGTGGATCGATGTCCTGAGAGAGCAGGTGTCCCCTGGAAGGTGGCCTGTGCCCAGGGGTGCAGGGTCTGCGGGCTGGGACGGCCTGAGCTCAGAGGAACCACATCCTCCCCGCGTGTGCACCCCCAGCCCAGAGTGGGGCAGGAAGACGCACCCCTGCCGGCGCGAGCCGCTATGCCCTCTCTTGGGGGAAATGCCCAATGATATGATTTGGGGGTGTCTGCCTCTCCCTCAGCCCCCAACATTGTAAGCTCCTGATAAGCAACTGGTAGCACCTGTGCCCACCCCAGCAGTGGCCCTCTCTCGGTGCCCCCCCCCCATTAGGAATTCGCCGGGCCTTTGCTGGGGGCTCTGTAGATCAAGTGTGTCTCACCTCTTTCCTCCGTTCCCAGGGCGTTCAAGATCAACGAGCTGAAGGCTGAAGTTGCAAACCACCTGGCCACGCTAGAGAAGCGAGTCGAATGTGAGTGGAACTTCATTTCTAGGCTTTCTTGCCACCTTAGAACAGTGGCCCCTTGGCGGCGGGTGAGGGGGAACGAGGCGGCAGGTAAGCCTTCCCTTCCTGCAATGCTTAACAACCTGGGCTGGTAACAAAGGTGATGAGGGTGGCGAGCCAACAGGTCCGATGTAGAAGTAACAAGATCTCGCAGTCAACCCTGTCTTGAGGATGCCCGAGTCCCAGCTGAAAGCTCAGAGCATCCCCAAGGCAGCCAGCCCTCTTGAGTTAGGCTCCCTCTGTGGAGTGCCCGTGTGTGTGTGTGTGTGTGTGTGTGTGTGTGCTCTTTACATAAATGACAACATGCTCTACCTGCCCACCCCCAGCCCACACCCTGCCATCTGGAACGTGTCCACAAAAACGGATCCCCGTGGTTTCCACTCACCACTGAGGGACCGTGGAAACACCGCACGTTCAGTGGAGACCAGTGCTGCCAGGTCTAATCCAGTTACCAAGCCCCAGGGAACCCATGGCCAGTTGCTCCTCTGCTGTTCCCCTGCCCCCTCCCGCAACAAAAGGGGTGACGTGCCTGACTTCCACGTGCCTCCCGATTCTGGGCCCAACTCACAGCTCCACAGCCAGGCAAGCCGTCGGCCAGCGGCAAGGCCGCCGTCGACCACGAAACAGAGGCCACGTCACTCAGCCTGCTTCGAAGGCTGGCCACCCGCCCTGTGTGTTAGAGTGGCTAGAGGGTGCCTGGGGTTCTTCGCTGATTTCTCACTCCTCTGGGGTGAATTTGGACCTCTAGCTCGAATCTTTAGGTTAGCACGTGGGCAGCTCCCATCTAGTAAACAGGTCACTGTTCTGAATTGCGTGTCTCTAAGACACATGCAGCAGTGAACCCTGATCTCTCTGCTGGGTTATCAGCCCATTTGGCAATGGGCTGACTTTGATTCTCATGATGAACGGGGTTTGTGTAAGGTATATATTGAGTCAACCCCTTTTGAAACCTTAAAAAATTCCAAAAACCCTCATGGCCCTCATGACATCGATGCTGATTCACAGCACCCTACAGGGCAGAGTAGAACTGCCCCTGTGAGTCTCTGAGACTGCCACTCGGATGAGTAGAGAGCGGGACGGCTTGCTGGTGGTTTCAAACAGCTGACCTTGGGGTGAGCGGCCCGACGCCTAATCACTTCTCTACCAGGGCTCCTTTTGAGACATGAAAGAGATTAAAAGAAAGCTGGAACGCAGAAGCAGGGGGTGGGGGTGGGCAGGGGAGAGCCATGCTAGCCGTGGGAAGAGTGCCCGGAGCAGAAGCTCAGAGAGACGAGGGCCTGCCTCCACAGCTGACAGAGATGACCCGTCCCCGAGAGCCAGCACCCCGAATGTAGACATCTAGCCCCCAAAACGGTGAGAAAATAACTTTCTGTTCCTGAAAGCCACCCGTTTGCAGTATTCTCCTATCACAGCACTAGGTACTGAAGACAGTTACACATTTAATACTCAGAAGGGGACTCATGAGGCTGTTCAAGGGCACAGCGTGGCCAAAAAAACCCCGCTGGTTTAGATTCCTATGACTTGCTGAATGTCTCTCTCGTCATTTGAATTTCTTATAATTCTGCAAAGGGGAAAAAAAACATGAGGACGATCCAAAAGCCAGTTCCATCTCAGTAATGTGAAACCTGATATCTGTTGTAATATTGATGCACTGTACTGGTTCAATTGAGCTTCAAAGCAGCTCTGTTTCCCCCTCTGGATGGTGAGTGGCCAGGGAACAAAAAGGTTAAACGAGCTGTCCAAGTCCATGCAGCATATTAGAAACCGAATCAACCCAGGCCCAGTGTCCGGGGCCCTGACTAGCAGCCCTCAGCCCTCTTGCCCTGTCTGATGGTGGCATGCCCCTTCCTGCACACCTGCTTGCCAAGAACCGGGGATCACAGGTGGACTGCAGACACAGGTGAGAAAAGAGGCTGACCCACCAGGCCGGGCCATTGCAAGCAACAGAAAGACAGTGTTTGGGGCTCAAGGACTGTGGGCAGCTCCAGGACCACCTTGAGGGCTTGTTGTGGCCGAGAGCAGGAATGATGCCCGAGATGCTGAATTCCGAGGGTGGCAGCATGGCCATCCTGCCTGAGCCCAGACACTGCCAGAGTCCCAGTGGTCCCCTCGGCCCTCACAGCCCGACTATAGCCATAATGCCACCTCTCCACATCACTGGCTTCTGATTTAAAGGCAGGAACAAAGTGGACCCTGGGCCCATGCCCTCCCTGCAAAGGAAGTCTGGGGAAGTACGTGCAAGGGAGTTCTGTGGCTGCCAAAATACAGCACCACGAACAGAGTGGCTTATAACACCAGAAATGGATGCTCCCCCTGTGCTAGAGGACAGGAGTCTGACAACCAAGTGTGGCAGCACCATGTTCCCTCTGAAAGCTCCAAAGGAAATTCCTTCCAGCTCATGGTGGCTCCGTATTTCCTTGGCTTGTGGCAGCCTCATTCCAGTCTCTCCGTCCACCTTCTCCCCCGTTTCTCTTCTTGGGACACCTGCACAGGCGCTCCCCGCACGCCAGGATGATGGTACCTTGAGATTATTAAGTTAACTCCATCTCCAAAGAAGGTCACATGCACAGGGTCCAGGGATTAGGACCCGGGCAGATCCTTTTGGAGAACACGACTCAACCAATGACCAGGTCCCTGGGTGACATGAGCAAGTATGTGATTGACGACTGCCCTGAGGGTTACTGGTTCAAATCCACCCAGTGGCACCAGCGAAGAAAGGCCTGGCAATCCGCTCCTGTGGAGATGTCAAGAAAGAAAAATCAATACCCTGCCGTGCAGTCGTGGCCGACTCAAAGCAGCCCTACGGAACAGGGTTGGACCACCTCTGTGGATTTCTGAGACAGTCCCTCCTTGTGGAGTAGAAAGCCCCACCTTGCTCCCACACTGCCGCCGGGGGTCTCCAGTGTGGCTGGCCTTGCAGTGCGCAGCCCAAAACGTAACTGCTGTGCCGCCAGGGTTTTATCTGTCACACACCGTCACCGTGAGTCGAAATCGGCACAGTGGCAGGTGTTTTCCTCGGCTCACAACACAGAACAAGAGGTCTTTCCATCTGTCATGCAGGGAGACCAGCTCAGCTTCCCACGGAGCAGGGATGTCTTCCGATTTGGGCAGGAGTGCTGCCAGAGAGTGGGGAAATTGTGCTCCCAAAATCAATCCCCATCTGCCGCAAGAGAAGCGGAGTCACCGTAGCAAACCCCAGCGTGGAAATGCCCTGCCAAGGAGGGCTCCGGTGCTCTGAGCTCCCCGGCCCCAGCGCCACCCAGCTTCTTCCGGGCTGCTTTCTTCTCTCAGTGCCCACCAAGAAGCCAGCTTCACCCTTTGCCACAATCTTCACTTAAAACGTTCATAGCCGGCCGGGGCGACAGAAGCGGTCCAGGTTCCCATGCGGGGGAAAAGGCACCCCACTGGGCGTGGTGTGTGATCCCTGGCTGAGATGCGTGGTTATTTTGTCCTCTACTGTGGTGGCACAGCGAGTTACAGTTGGGCTGCTGACCCCAAGATTGGAGGATCCAGCCCACGTGCTGCTGTCCAAAAGAAAGACGAGGTTTCTGCACCTGTAAAGACTCTTACAGCCTCGGAAACCCGCAAGGGACGGGGGTTTGGCTCTGCCCTATACCTTTGCTGTGAGTCGGAATCAACTCGAGGCACTGAGTTCGTTGGGGGTTGGGAATTTTCTGTAGCCATAGTCCCTTCTCGTCTGGCCTGCCTGGCGCTTGGAATACTCCAGACTGGACTCTCCCCCAGGAGAGATGTCCTTCCTCTCGGGCCGTGCTCCGGGGCAGAGATCAACCGGGGTAAACCGCAGCAGCATCGCTTCATCCCACTGAGCCCCGGCTCACGGCCCTGGTCAGGCACCCCCACTTCATCGGCACAGATCAAGGCTACTGGCTTTTTGCTAGTCCAGTGCATCTTTGTCAGTTTTGCTGATTTCTAAAGCCTGGCGTGTTGCAGTGAAGTAGGTCCTAACTCGGGGCGACGCTGTGGGTCACAGAGTACAACTACGCCATGGGGTGTTCTTGTCCATGATCTCTCTGTAATCGGATTGCCAGGCCTTTCTTCTGCTGTGCAGCTGAATGGGTTCAAACCTCCAATTGATCTGTTAACATCGAGCACAAGCAATGCTGCCCAAAGACTAATGGCTAGCCTGACTAAGGACCAGGAACTGGGAGGCCTGGGCGCTGTAGAAATTGAGTCTCGGGGAGCATGGGTCCTGAGGGAGGGAGAAAATGAGGGCTTAACAGCTGTGGGATAGGCAAGGCACGGGTAGTGGCCAACTGGGGCTGAAGCAGTGGGGTTCCCCCCAGGTGCCAGTCCGCTAGTGCCAATGCCTGCCGTATACATGGCTAGCTCCTGTACCCAGGATGGCAGGCTCTCCTCCTCCCTGAAGACCACCAGTCTTGGAGGCTTCCCTTTCCTGGTCTTCTGACTGACCCCTAGCTGGTCTCCAGCAGCATCTGATTAGCAAGCTGGCCAGGCTGGACTCCTAAGTATGGACCGCACTGACAAGACGCGGTGCTGGAGCCCAAGATGGGGTGACTGGGCCTGGCAGGGACCTTCAGCCACGTGGGGAATTGCCCATCTGAGGTGCTCGGAAGGTCAGTCCTGCGCCTGCACAGCTGCTAGAGACAAGCAGGCCACTGCCCCAGCAAGGCCTCTGGGCATGAGCCCCAAGCTGCGCTGCCGTCCCAGGCTCAGAGACAGCCACTCATACAAGCACATATGAAAACACACAGAGAACAAATGCATCTACATATGCATGCCGGCACACATACAAACACAACTCACAGCCACGAGGTCGCTTCTGACTCAGAGTCGCTCTATGCAGGGTTTCTGAAACTAAATCTTTACAGAAGCAGACAACCTCTTTTCCCCATGGATCGGTGGGGGTTTGAACCACCAACTCTGCAGCTAGCCTCAAATGCTAACACCAGGGCCCCTGTAAACACACACAGAGACCTGTCAATGCT